GACCTGGTAGTGGAGAAACGGTCCCTTAAGGCCAATAATCTTAGGCGGCGATCTTCACGGTCTGTTGTTCTACGGCGGCGTCCAGTGCCCCTTGCTCTTTGCGTACGGCCTTCTCGAAGCCATGCCTGATAACACCTAACCACAGTGTCTACACTTCTTTGCACTCTAACTGCAATTGCCCGAAAAGAAAGTCCAGCTTCCCGAAGTCCCACTATACGGCCCCTATCAAACTCACTAAGTTGACGAAATCGTACAGGTCTCCGTACTCTAGGCATCGTAAGCGATCGTAAAGGATGTCAAGAACCAAAATCCGCCAACGTTGATTCTTTACTGCGGCTGAAATATTCATTTTTAGAGCGTTAGTGAATTAAAAAAAAGCAGTATAAAAACCGGAATGTCCAAAAGATAAGGCTGAAATTTTTTTCACTTGTTATTTACAGTAAGATAAATACATTCACCAACTTTTATTAAAATAAAACCATTTAAACTGGGTGTTCGGATTTATATGTCACTTAGTATAAAAAGTGATATTTTTGTGTGTTTTTGTTTTCTATCTGAACAAATTAAGATAAATAAAGATTTTTCTAGTTTTCTTAAACACGAATAGACCCATTTAAGAAAATCAAATATCAAAATAAAGGACTTCGAAAAATCTTTCAAACAAGTTATTACTCAATACCCCTTGTCATTTAAAATTTTTAATGGGATGGCCCTGGGTGACCCAGGGTGAAAGGGGGTGAAGTAGATTTTAGTTAAAAAGTTGTCCTAACAAGTATGTGGTTATGGTATTTGCTAAGAAATCTGCTCGCCAGTTTTTGGAATCGAACTTGAAAATAGTTGTAAATAATACTGTAATTGAAATTACAAGTAAGGCAAAGAATCTGGGACATCTCTGAGGTTTAAGGATCACGTAACGAAATGCATCCAGAGAGCATACGCATCGCTAAAGTTACTCTATTCTCATATATTATATTTATCAACAGAAATTAAGAAAATGTTACCCACTAGTACTTTCACCTGTATTTGTTGCATATTTAGATCAAAACAGCCTTAATCGTATTCAACGTGTACAGAACTCGTGCATTCGATTTATATATGGGATTAAAAAGTATCAGCACGTTTCATGCAAATAATTGAAGGAATTAAATTGGCCAAACATGGACAAAATATTGCGCTTATATGCTTATTTCACAAAAAACTGTACTATAAGAACCTCCCTACCTAAACAAAAAAGTGTCATTTAGTGCATAATGTTGACACGAGACTTAAGCGCCTAATCCATATACCATCCCACAGGACAGTTCTTTTTGAAAGCAGCTTCAAATTACAATTGCTAGATATTATAATTATCTTCGGTAGTATCTTAAAACATGCAATCCACATAAGTTAGTTTCGGATTAGTTTATGATCTATAAAATTATTACAATTGCTGCGTTTAATTTAGGTAACCCTAAGCCCTACTTCACGAGTATCCATCACGGTAGAATGGCAGCTGGTTATCTAGTGATTTTCAAAAATTCCCCATATCGGCAAAGGACACATAATTCTGACGGATACGTCAATACCAGGTAGACGGAGCTATATTTTGTTTTGGTTTTTTGTACGCTACAGATTCATTTTGTACTTGCTAAAAGCTCTTTTATTTAGAAAAGTTCATTTGCATACAACAAACAAAACGATACGAACAATTTTTTGCTAGATTTACACCCGATTCATTATAGCCAACGTTGCAGACTAACACAAAAGTGTCACTAGCTGATCATCTGTTCACCTCAGTAGCACGAAATAGGCTGTCTGTGTGTTGTTTGGTTAGTTTTAGGTTAGTCTGTTTTTACATGTTACTATTGGCAAGGGTTGACTGGAAGAACACCTCTAGGTGAACTCCCCCTTGAGGTTTTCCCAATATCATTATCTTCTTTCTCATGTGTGTGTGAAATGTACGTATATGATGGAAAAATGAAGAACATTATTATAATTATCATCATAATTATTGAAAACGGAACGGCACTATCGTATACCACTACACATTATCAAAAGTATGTTTTAAATTCTGGCTTAGTTTCGAACATGTGTATTCTAGTGTTTGCTATAACTTTGTTCAGTTGTTGCAATGCATGATCTAGGAGCAATCTACATTGTTTTGAGCAGATAGTGGTGTGAGATTAATGCATCTTGTGTCTTATGTTTAAATCAAGAAAACGGAAATTAAAGTACAGAGTTGTTTGTAAAAATACTTTATTGCCACTTCAGAATAAAACAAAAACATAAAAGTAATATAACAAAATATAATAGTAGTATTTACATATGTATTCCAAAATATGTTGATATGATCTTTAGGCATAGACTTTCAACCAGTCAGTATGTTTGTGGATGAAAATGGGACGGAGTGTAACAGAATGCAAGTGGAAACAATATACAGAAATATATAATAATATGTATAGAAATGTATTTGTTGTTGAAGTGAGGCACACATTTTAAAGCTAGATAGGAAAATATTCATGCGGAATTCTACTTCTAGACTTTTCACTGTTTAGGTTTTCATGCATGTGTGTCGTGTGAACTAAGTAATAAAGACTTTTCGTCTTCGAGAAGTACAAATTAGTTAATACTAAACTATTCAGTAAAAGTGAAACATAAGCGGTATCAAAATGTCAAAAAATGTCAGTCTATCGGTATCGGTATATAAGAAGACCTATCTTTTTTAAAACGAATGGAAAGAAAACATTTTATGTGCTCAAGTGTCTTGTATGTTGTAATGAGACATATATATGCATAGTGTTCTATCGAATATCTCATATTAGTTTAGCATAAAAGACACATACAGTACAAGTAGAATTCTACACGTAACAATCACAACTAAAATGCAGACGCATATTGCCGAAAATAAAACTTTAAAGCCATTTAAAAGCTTCTATCGTACACGTTTAATATAAAAATATAAACAATTATTCATACACTATTATACAGGAAACGAGGAACATGGAGCTTCCAAGCGATCCACTTATAGGTTATGGTACAGCCATTTCTAGCTTTTCCGCGTAAAAGTAAAACAGAGAGTAGATCGAATGTATAAGTCGTATATAGCGTGTCCCAGATTCGCTTCTCTATACAAGAAGCTCGGCCCCTGTTAAAACCTACAGCAAAGGTTAAATGGGGAGAGTTTTAGAGGAAACCCGAAAATGTCGATTTTGTTTTTTGCCAGTAAATCCGAAACAGCTGTCAAAATGTGACATTAATCGGAAGTTTCTTTAAGGAAAATAAGAAAGCATGAAAGCATGTATGACATGGCTCAGTCGTCTTTTGTTTTCCAGCAACCCGCCTCAATTTTCATTTTTCTTATGACCCCCATATTGGATTTTCCGATTTTTGAAAAGGGGGTAAAATTTCTTGCCTAGTGATGTCTCAGAAGTGCATAAAAGATTGGAGTATCATCGAAATATCACCACACGTAATGTTATGTATTAACTTTTTTCCATGACGGCCATGATTTATTTGTGACAAAATAAAATTAACAAATAATGCATTTTTTCATATAAGAAGACTCTGACTTTGACGTTAAATCATTCAAAGTATTAAAATTGTGTTTTAATAAGTAGTAGGTACATTTTCTCTCATTAAAATCATAAATGTGACAAAAAATGTCAAAACCTGTTGAAAATGGCCGGTATTCCCTACTCAAACGAAGAAAGGTTTGACATGTTAGCGCTGTACTTCCAGTCACACAGAAACGCCGACATTACCTCAGCAAGGTACTTGGAGATGTACCCCGAACGACGGCAGTCTCATAAAATCCACTTTAGAAAAATAGTAGTTAATTGGGTCTTCGAACAACCTAGAAGCAGATACAATATTGAAAATGAAAAACGTGACAGACACATTTTACAAGCTGTCAACGAAATCCCTAGTGCATCAGTAAGAACTATAGAACGATAAATTACTGTGTCAAAATGAACAGTACAGAGTAATGAATAAGAAACCTATAATATTTCGAGGACTTAAGAAAACTGATTTTCCAAGGCGAATGCGCTGTGAGTCTAAATCTAATGAAAATTTCCGATTTTGTAAATCATGTATTGTGGTCTGATGAGAGAAGGTTCACGGATTGTGGAGTTTTTAATAAGCACAACACTCATCATTGTGCTGTTGAAAACCCTCACGAAGTGGGAGAGAGACGTGTACAGACCAGATTTGGAACTAACGTTTAGTGTGGGGTCAGAGGTATAGTAATTTATTCTATCTTCATCATTTCAGGAAATCGGCTTATTATTTTTGCTTGACTACAACCTAAACGGACAGGTACCTAGAGCTTTTGCGAAACCAGGTTGTACCGGCTTTACGAACTAGTCTAACCGAAGATGAGTTTGGAAGAACCTGGTTTCAACAGGATGTACTTGTATGTCCGGCTCATAACACCATTCAAGTCAGGAACTTCTTAAGAGAGGAGTTTGATGGAAGAATAATTTCGTTAAATGGTTCAATATCTTGGCCTCCTAGATCTCCTGACATCCCACCCTTGGATTTCTACCTCTGGGGCCACACAAAGAATGAGGTCTATTAATTTGATACTCCTGACACCATAGAAATTCTGAGACAAAGAATTTTGAGTTAGAAAATGTCTGAATGCAAATGGACATTATTTTGCAAATCTGTAAATTAATACCCACTTACATAATTAGATTTGACATTACATTACATTTTTGTAAAATGTTTTTTTGTTCAAGTGTAAAATAAATTTACGACGATTTTTCTGACTTGTCTTTTTAACACACTTATAGTTGGGAATTCTATTGAAAATTCAATGTGTTTTTATGTGTTTTTATGCATTACTCATTAATGTTATTTTCTGACAAATAAATCATGGCCTCCTCAGAAAAAAACTAATGCATAACATTACGTGTGGTGATGTTTCGGTGATACTCCAATCTTTTATGCACTTGCGAGACATCACTAGACCGGAAATTTTACACTCTTCAAAAATCAAAAAATCCAATATGGCGGCCAAAAGAAAAATGAAAGTTGAGGCGGGTTGCTGAAAAACAAAAGACGATTGAGACATGTCATACATGCTATCTTTTTTTTTTTAAATGTCCGAATATTGTCACCCTTTAATAGCTGTCAAATAAACCGTCTTGGATTTACTGGCAAAAAACAAATTCCGTCATTTCCGGTTTTTCGTTGATTTTTTCAAAACTAATTGACTGATCGTAAATCCGAAGCCGGCTATCGAAAGCACCAAGTTTATTCTAAAACTTTCCCCATTTAACCTTTGCTGTAGGTATAACAGGAGCCGAGATCCCTGTATAGAGAAGCGAATCCGGGACACACTGTATATGATTACATAAGAACGTAAACATTGTAACTATTCGGTATATTCTTCAACTATTGCGAAAATGAGTTAGCATTTGGAGGCAAATCTTGTAATCATGACTATAGTCGCCCAGTTTTACTGGAGTCAGGTGACCGACGAACCTTATCAAAGTCCAAAATGATTTAAAGTCCTCACACATCTGATTTTCGGCATTTTCTGTACTATTACCTCACAGTACAAGGTTAATCGAACTTCTTGTTCAACGTGTTATAGTGTAGGGTTTTTAAGCACGCCTTGGGCACATACTTTACAGCAAAACTAAAACACATCTCTTCTGTAAATGGAAGAATAGAATATATAAAAAGACTACAAAGGAGTGATGTAGCCTTGTGCAACTAAGACTCTAAAATGGAAAACGGAAGTGGTGCTGTATAAATGTTGTATATGCAATGATAGGCACTATTACGCAAACGACGATGATGGTACGCCTTATAGTTGACACAAGTTATGAAAGAAACATTGCAAAAAGCAAGAACATTGTGAATGCAAATCTTTTAGAGATCATTAGGCAGCAATGAATCTGAGCTTTTGTTACTGGAATGGTATTTCACAAATTTTTAAACATGCGGAAATATATCAAAAACAATTTTCTTTAGAGTGAACACAAATGACTGAGTTGGAGGTGGGAAGACGCATCAAATGGGTTTGATATCTCCTAAGATAATAAAAAAGGTTTATAAATTGAAATGTTCACCAAGAGATAGTTCTGCAGCGAGAAAATCATGCTTCTGCGTTTTGATGTAGCAAGCTTTACAACTAATGCAAGAGAGAGTCTTACACAATTCGAAAGAAAATATCGCGAAAGAGTCAAATGAACCTAAGGTTTTGATTTACAGAAAGACACAGTTCAGAATAATATTTAGTATAGAATGTATCAAATTTTGTTAAATTTAATATGTGATAAGTTGAATTTCAGTTGACATTATCAGAAATAGGGTGTATCTTAATTGAGTATAGTCTCAGGAAATATTGAAGGGCATATTCAGCACTTTAAAATATGGAAAAGAATCATGTGCTACGATTCTATAAAACGAGGAGTTAAACTGGTACGTCTTTGACAGTTTACGTACCATATTCAAATACAGATTGTGATGAATGTCGATTAAGGTTAACGTTAAGCTTTACGTATGCGGTATTTGTGATTGCCAAACATTTCTAGTAATATGATTTCTAATTCCCGTAAATGTATTATCTAAGCTCAAAAGGTCACATTAACATATACAATATTGTTTTCTAAAGCATCTATGTTCAGTGATAAAACAATTCGTCACTGTTCTTTTAATAAAACTGAATTAGTACCCTAAAGCGAGAGCTTTTCGTATTCTGAATAAGAACTACATTTTTAAACAGTACAACCGTCTATCTGTCGATAATAAAAAGTGCTGTCAGTAATTAAGGAATTAACAAAAAACTCCTGAAGGTACTTTTTCAAGCAGAATGAATATGGACTCGAACGATCATTTTTAAAAAAACCAGTGGCGAGTAATGCTATCAAAAACCGGAATATCTGAACACTCCGCACTATGGAAATGATAAATTTCGGTACATATGTATACTTATGGCGAATGTCACACAATCATCATTAATTGTGATCCGTTATTATTTATCATTTACTGACTGTGTAGCCCGGATGTCAGTAATTTGTGAAATATAAAGTTACGTAGAAATCCAATGACACAGACGAAATGATCAGTAAATGCTGATAGTAGGAATCACAGCAAACACTGATAGTGTGACATTCGCCTATATGTTCTTTTTCATACTTTTACGTACTGAACCTGCACCTTCCTGACAACATTTTGTAGCACCAGGTAGAAGTTTTTTTGTTCATTGTGATATATTTGTTATTTATGATGACATTCTATACTAAAATCCTACTAATCAATTTCAAACTACATCCTCGAAATGTCTAAATGTATCGAAATGGCTGCACCGACACTTGCAGTGACATTGATTCCGGCACTGTACGAGCACGCTACCCTCCTCACCTCTGGGCTGTGCGTTCAGGATGTCGGGTTGGCCGCGCACCACCTCCAACTGTGGGAGGAGCGATGGCGGTACCGCCCTATCGGCTTCAGGGGGCGTGATCAATCTTTGCCCTGCCCCTTCGTCGGCGCAGTCTGCTGCCGGCTTGAGCGTGTACGCGACGACGTACCGATTGTCGCCAGTGTTGATCTCCAGCATGGAGCCTGGGTGGTGGTGGGGGAGGGTATTATTGGCGCCGCCCACCACTGGACGAAGCTTGGAGTTCGTTTTTGAAGCATCTGGAATATAATGAAGCTTTCAGTCACTTTAAGAGTTGGCGAACTTGAAAAACCTCATCAGGTTTATATTCGGTAATTTTGAAAGATTCGGGACTTCTAGAAACCCCAAGAATTTTAGTAATCCTAAAGTATGGAAAATCAAGTTAATCATGGGAATTTGGAAAATTTTGGGTTTGTTTACAGAGAATAACAGGACTTTGGTTACCAATGATTGTTTTTTAACTTACCTATATTGATGTGATGTGGACAGTGCAACCGACCATTACACTCTCTTTTCCTTCTGACAGCTATCACAACTATAACTAGTACTGCCATTCCAAGTGTCAGGAGGAGACCAGTCAAAAGACCTGCTATTGGTACTAGACTGACGTTATTGGTACCATCTGCAAGAATACAGAAAATAGGGTTTCGACATTTTAAGAAACCTGCTTCAAACTACACATCTATTACACAATTAATCATTGATCTTGTCCAAACTTTGAACATCAAGATCATTTGTTTGAATGAGATGATATTTTTGATCTTTGGAAGGATTACAGATTTTTGGTATGTGAAATAAATTTGGAGTAAAATACACATTCCCCAATTTTCTTACCTGTCCTTTTTTCGGCGTCGTTAAGCATGACATCCTCCAAAACAACCTTTTCACTTCTTCCTTTTGCATTCTCGGCATATACAACCATCCTGAGTGCACCCTCTGGTGGGGGAACCATTTCTCCAAGCTCTAACCGGAACATGACGGATGCACCTCCATCTAGACTTTCGGCAGAATAGTTCGCTCGTATCCGAGATGCCCGTGCATCAAACACCTGTAATTTGGATGAATCAATCAATCAAATAATCAATCATTCCATCAATCAATCAATCAACTAATCAATCCACTCATCAATCAGTCAGTCAAACCATGAATCAATCAACCAACCAATTATTTAGTTAAGCAATCAATCAATCAACCAAACAATCGACCAATATACCGATCGATGAATCAATAAATCAATCAAGCAATTAATCATTCGGTCAATCAGTTAGTCAATATCCAATTATCTCATATGCCTACACAAGTGAAACATTAGACGTGTTCTGGATAGTGGTGTGTAGTTCGCGAACGAGCTAGGTCAATCGAACGATTTTTATGATTGAACTAAGTGAACTGGTTCATCATTCCTTGAAAAACTCGTTCACTCATTCACTACGAACGACTGATATTAAGCCGCGTACAGAGCGTAATTCCAACGCAAGCCAAGGGACAGGTGGTTACAATTTTGGAGGTTTTCGAATCGGTGTGTACGGCACGAGCCAACATAAGGCAACGGTTTCAAAGGTCGGCGTTGGCGTCCGATTGCGTTCGCTCCTTGATCCGTACATCAAAGGGACGTTTGATTTGGTCTGGACAGGGTTTGTTGCGTTTTTAGTATTTAGTCGTTTGTCTGCATTCGATGAGAGGAGACTCGTCGCTCGACATTAGAACCGAACTTGACACGACGCGGTCCAACTCGAAACTGAATTTAGGTGCAGACGAGCGCATTCCAATACCTTCCAACAACAAACGCCAACGTCACATTCGTTTGCTCGGCGTTGGATTTTCGGTCTGTACGCGGCTTTACCGGATCCCGATGATGCAATCGAACTAGTTGTGAGTGAACCAACGAGAACGCGATAGGAGAAAGGAGTCGGAACACAACCGTAAGCAGAAGGAATTATAATTGGTAGCCTGGAATCTATGAAAAAGATGATAAACGCTATATAGGCTGAAAAAAGTTAAAATTTAGCTAACTTTTATAAAAAAAGAGTGCGGCTCATGGATAAAAAAAATACTAAAATGAAAATATAAATTAACCACAGATTTCCATTTAAAACATTGATTTTTTAACTTTATCAGCCACTAGTCTATTTCTGTTGACAAAACTGCTTGCTCAGCCTTCGAAAAAAAGCCACTCGCACTCGTTTTCTCAACCATTTCAACTAACCTTGAATAGATTTTGCTCGATCGTGTCACCACTTCAGGGGTAAGAGCGGTTCATGAAAATATTTTTCTCGTTCGATTATGCCCGTTGTGACTGAATTTAAACCGCGCAAGGTCAGAAACGTCCAAAAGGTCTAAAATTGTTATTTTGTTCTTCAGCTTATTTTCCGTTTGCCTCTTGTTTGCGATACTAAAAAAACTGTTCTCGTGAAAGGAGGGCATCTACATACATACGGTTGCCTAGATTTGTATTATTCATTAAAAACCTTCTGACCTGGTGGAATCAAAAAACAAAAGTGTACATTATTTGAGATTGTTAGAAAACGTGTATATCTCATAGCCGCATCTACTATGTGAGCGACAGCTTACGTGTAGCATTTAAATTTGAAACATCCATCTTAACAAAAATAACGAAATACAAAGAAAACTATACAAGGCGGTTACTCATCCAAATAGTTCCTAGAACTAGTTGGTTTTCGAGAGTGTGACGTAAAGAAGTAGTTCACTGAAATAAACTAGAAAACACTTTACTAGTTCTGAAGAGACATTTTTCTTGAATTAAGATGATATTTACCTCTAGAACAAAGTGCTGTGGGAGTCCTCCATCGTGTCCTGGTCGGCAAAAAACCTCCATAGTCGCAGTGAGTGGTGTTAGTACTTCTGTTCGATTGACAGAAGGGGCCACAGTTCTTATAGAGCAGTTCGTTGGTGGACTAGGTTTTGAGGCCGGTACCACCTAGAAAGTATGACAGATCACTCATAGCTGAATGTAATGTCAAGTCATCGTTGGTTGTTAGAGCGGTCCGTGAGACCTTAGCTCTTGAGTCACAGTGTCAGTTTGTAAGTCTGCCGGTCTGGTAACCCAAAAACCAGACAATTTTAAGGAAAAAAGGGAAGGAAAGGAGAGAAGGAAGAACGAGAGCATATGAGAAGAAGAGAATCTTTTAGGATAGGCAGCATTTAGGCATTGTTAAAATCATTTCACAGATTTTGATATGGTCTAAAAATATTCGATTTTTTCTAAAGATTTTGCGAAAATGATATAATTTTGGTCGTTCTAAGTTTACGAATTAATTTTGATTACAGTGCGAGCCACGGCCTTTTGTGCTTGCGAACTTGCTCGAATGTGTAGTCCATTGACTCACGCTACAAAGGGTTTCTGTGCGATTCCGCTAGGCTATAGCGCCGCTGCGCCTGTTGCTTAATGTGGTCCTTTAGGTAAGGGACATCGAGGTCTCTATGTAGAGTTTCGTTAGAGACATACCATGGGGCATCAGCAATACTGCGCAACGTCCTACTTTGCAGAACCTGCAGATTTCGCATGTATGTTTTAGCAATAAAACACCAAGCCGCACATGCGTAAGTCATTGCTGGTCTTATGACCACCTTAAAGAGTCGAATCTTGTTAATCAAACTTAATTTTCAACGTTGTCATAATAATGGGTAAAGCTATCGACACGTAATTTGAAATTTAGTTTTTAGCGCTTATATATGGTTCCGCCAAGTCATTCCTTTATCCAGAATGACACCGAGATACTTAGCGCAGGATTCCCATGGTATACGAAGTCCATTCATTGAAACTTCAGATGGAACGCCGCGACGTCTTTTTGTACAGTAGATTGCCTGCGTTTTTAAATGGTTAATTTTAATTGGCCACCGATCCGCCCAATCTAGTACTTCCTCCATCGCACTTTGCAGCCTGTCATGGATAAGGTCACCAGACCACGACTGAGCCACCAATGCAGTATCGTCAGCATAGAGATAGACTTCACAGTTGCTGGGGCTAGGGACGTCATGGATGTACAGTGAGTAAAGTATAGGTCCAAGGACCGAACCCTGAGGGACGCCGGCTGTAATCAGCCATGTCGTCGACAGGACATTGTCAATTTTGATCCGAAATTTCCTACCTTCAAGAAAGGATTTCAGTAGTTTTAGAAGCCAAAAAGAGAAGCCCTTTTGAATTAGTTTATACAAGAGGCCTGCGTGCTACACCTTGCCAAATGCTTTTGAGACATCCAAAAGCAAGATGCCAGTACTTTCGTTAAGGGTGAATCCTCTGGTTACTCGTTCCACCAGCCTAACCGCCTGTAGGTCCGAACAGACCGAAAACCGAATTGCACGTCAGGAATCACATGGTGATCTGACGAAAAATTCTCAAGGTGACGTAGAATCATCTTTTCAGCGAGCTTAGACGGAGCAGATAGCAGGCTAATGGGACGATAATCCAGGGAAATATCGAAAATTTCATGTCACCAAAGCCTGAAAATGACTCCTAGATAATTTAAATAGCGCCTGCTGTTCTGAAAATCTGTGAGTCTGGATTGATTTTTGGGTTATAGTATTCCATCAATTCAAACAAACTGTTAAATGAAACCAAAGGATTCCGTGTGTGAAACAAAATAAAACTGATTGTTAAAAGGATTGATATCTTTGCATTATTACCTGTCAGAGAATATTAAAAATGTGTCAGGAGGTAACAAAATATTTAGAAGTAGTAGTCATATTTTCGCAAATGATAAATGTTATTATGTAATTATATTCCATCGAGGTGCATCATGAATATTGTACTGTTCAAAATTTTAATTCAGAATTCATAAAGTATGTTTTGAGTGCATTCCTATGTACGAGAATTGGTAATGTTCGCCCTCGAAAGTTCAAACAAAATTTTGCACTAAAGCTGTTACATAATCAGCTCTAAATTCACGTAATGAGTGTTTTCATATCTTAAAATGTGACTGTACGAGCTTTCCTTCGATATCCGAATTCCAAACACGTTTTTTTCCAACACAATAGTGAAAAATCTAGGATAAACTGTATCACATCTCACACATGGACGTAAACAATTTATTTTAGCTATTAAAAATTCATTTTATAATCGTCGATATGTCACCATATATTTTGATTCGAATGAAAATTTATTCCTACTGTTTTCTGGACTATACAGATAACTGCCTCACGTAACCGTACATCATTTCATACATCATGAAGGTACTGTTGGCTTCCAGGAAAAAAAGGATCAGATTTCAGAATATTTTTTGTTGCAAAACTACAATTGAAATTAATTAAAAGTGAGCGAGAGTTGCACAATTCGTCTTTTGAACCAGTACTGCATCCGTCAGCACAATATTGTATTTTTCGGGAAAATCATTCACTAAACGATTTCCAAGAATTTTTCCAGGTGTGTTATGAAAAAAAAATAATTCATGAAAATTCAGTATACATGGAAACATGTTTTTACATTTACAGGAAGCATAAATTTGATAATAAAAATGAAAAACGTGCTCTAATAAAGGATTTGTTATGAAATCAGTATGGTGTTTTTTTGGCAAGTGAAGAAAGAAGCTATAAAGAACCAAATACAGAGGGTGGCAATATTTCTAGAATAGAAACTACATCCAAAAATAACAAAAAACATCCTTGGTAGTGAGAGTTATATAAAATAGAAACATAAATATAACCTCAGATCCTTTTCAGATATTGTCTGAACATTACGCACACCTAGTATTAACAGCATATTCAATACGTACCCGTGCCAGTGACGTAGGGAACATTTAGCCCATACACAAGTAATAAGTAAATTATTTTCTACGCCAATGACCTTTCTGAAAAATATATTGTATTTTTGAGTAGGGTATTTAATTTTACATGAATCGCTTCTTCTAAGAAAGTTTAGTCCTTTTGAACAAAAAAATGGTTTGAATATTTGCGGTAAAATCCAAATAATTAGCTTCTACCAGTTCTACACTGAAAATATACTGAAGATAGTGAGGTTTGACATTGATAATTGTATGAAGTGTATAACAAGAGTAATCCTATTTCGCCATAACGTTATTATTGTTCCTGTTTTGTTCTTGTTCGGTCTCATCAGTGGAGTACAAATTCACAACAGTCTGTATCTTGATAATGAGACATTTAAGACCTATGGGTGCAGCTTCTACTCTATAAATATTGCTATGTTTTTCTGAATCACCCGGTATATTGTTGCTTCGATTTTTGGACTGCCGGTCATTAAGAGAAGTGGGGTAGCGAACCTAGAAATACTACTGTGAGATCCGGCATCCGCATTTCGTAGCCGTAACTGCAACTGTCATTGATAGATGTGCATCATCTGCCATTAATTGCCAAATTTTGCATCCGGAGAAATTTTTATATTTTGGCAAGAAAGAAGGCAATAATACTATGGAAGCTGAACCCGAGGGGTCCCTAGGCGACCCCTCTACTGCTTTGAGTGGAGTTGGCGCGGAGTGCAGCGCTACTTTGGAACATATTCCAGAAAACCAAAACGAGATGACGCCAATGATGACACCAGGGATGACACCAATGATGACATCAGGGATGACACCGATACTGGAGAAGGAAAACGAGAACCAGAGACTTTTGAAGATAATTGCAGACCAAACAGCCCAGATTCAGAGACTGACTGACTGTGTGGAGTCACTTAATGCCCAGGTTTTTAAGCTTAGAAGTATCTTTAATAAATCAATTGCCAATGTTGATTCTTCCAAAACAGCAAAACGTAGACATAACAGTCATTCGAGTGACCTACATACTGAGACCGATGAGGACACACAGGGTGATCTTTTCACACCTGTGCGATGTCGCAAAGTGAGACTCCTCTAAATAGAATTTCCTCCGCTACCGACGAAATCCCCAAATAACAAACATTCAGGCAACCTAAAACTGTCTGTGTGTGTACCCTCTACCGCTTCGACTAGTCAGCCAAGGGAAAGACCTCATCAGCATCCATACAGAGTGCTCCTCCTGTTATACCCCAAGTGCCGTCTGATACATTGGCTGGCTGCAACTCATCTTCCTTGCCATCCAGCGGATCTCTAAACACACAGGCCCAATCGCCAGGCCAGGGGCGTATTACTCCAATCGTGTTGAGAGATGCGACAAAATGGTGCACCTTAAACTATTCCTTTGTAAGTCTTGGTATTCATATTGAACGAGCAGTCGCCGTTGACGCTGGGATACGTATCATCCCCAAAACCGAAGACGATTATCGCAGGATAATCCGTCTTTTCAAAGAGGAAAACATTCCTCATCACACTTTCCCTTTGCCCACCGAACAGGAGGTCAAAGATGAGCTAGAACAAAAGGGTTACGCTCCCTTTCACATCATTCGCCTAGAGCGTAATGGCGGCGTGCCCATGCCCTTGGTGGTGGTAATCCTGCCTAAGACGGAGAAGTCACAGCAGGTCTACAGAGTCGAAGTTCAGAAGAACTCTCGACTCATTGACTCAAAGACGTCCCTTGCCCAGGCAACTATGAAACCTATCTCTATGCTGATGACACTACCCTGGTGGCCCAGTCGTGCTCTGGGGATCTAGTTCACGACAGGCTGCAAAGTGCAGTGGATGAGGTATTGGAATGGGCGAATCGGTGGCTGATCAAAATTAATCATTCGCAAACGCAGGCAATCTATTGTACTAAAAAACGTAGCGGCGCCCCGTCTGAGGTTTCAGTGAATGGAGCTCGGGTTCCATGGGAAAGCTCCGCTAAGTATCTCGGTGTCACTCTTGACAAGGGGATGACCTGGCAGAAGCACACTGAAGCGTTAAAAACTACATTCCATATCTCGTTTCGGCAACTCTACGCTATGCTATGTAGAACATCAAAATTTAGTTTGATCAACAAAGTTCGGCTATACAAGATGTTATTAGACCAGCGATCACCTACGCACGTGCGGCTTGGTGTTTTATCGCCAAAACGCATTTACGTAGCCTGCAGGTTTTGCAGAACAGAACCTTGCGAGAACAGATCTGCTGATGAAGACGACAGTGAAGGAATTCCAAGATCTGACGATGAAATTTTAAAGGCAATTGAAACCATCCAGCTTACCTTTTCAATGAATGAGGCGGTAACTAATGACGAACATACTTTAATTTGTCAAATTAGACAAAAATATGAAACTTACCGCCCAAAAAAATAATCAGTCAAAGTTTAATAACTGATTATTTATATAGTGCTTTTAGTACATAAATTTCAAGTTAATCGATACATTTTTCTTACGCTTCTTACTATGTAGTTCAGTTTTTTAATACATATGTCATTATGTGTGTATAATAATAAAAAAATATGTTTTGGAATATGTATTTACATAATGTATGTAGGTACATACATACAATGTGGTTTTTCTATAACTGGAACTCTCTATAATTCGAACTTTTTTGGCTGTCCGTTCAAGTTCGAGTTATAGAGGTTCAACCGTATTTTAAATACAATATTTCATTTATAATATTCATCAAATATTTACTTTTCAATCATTGGCAACTATTAAAACTCCCCGAGCGACCAATGGCATAACGGCAAGCCGACCCGTTTGCAGGCATCCATTTGAGTGTTTTTTTTTGTGGTAAAGGGTAAGTTTTGCGATAATTACATAGGTCAATTTATCTGACTAGTGAACATTATTCTGCCAGTTGAATATAAAGGTATTTATAGGAGCATAAATAACTAGCCTTGAAGTGTAACAATTATTTGCGATTTGGGATTGGTGGATTTATCTGAAAATGGATAGGAAAATTATATTCATAATATCCCAATGAAATGTCATGTAAAGCTTGATCGAGATACATCAAAAATGTTTTTTTAAATATCTCAATTATTATTTTTGTCGTAGTAGGGGAAAAATCAGCTTAATTATTTTCAAATTTTTAACAGTCGAAAATACTATATTTTTGTCCCTTGAATTATAATATAAAATCACAAAATAGTTATGACTAAATTATTCCCCTTATTAAGGATCAAGTTGTGCCCATGGACATTTTTCATCCAGATATCTAAAAAAACAATTTTTCATAGGACAAAAATGTGGTGTCCTTTTCGGTGGATTACAGAGCTGCTTTTCCGTGACCCAGTTGAGTAGTTCGGGGGAATATCTCTCTCAAACAAAAGACCACTGGAAAGCAGCTTATGTATTCAATAATACTTCATAATTAGTAAGTTTTTTTTTCAGATGAGTGGATTTGCAAGATGTAGAAGAGGCTCAGAATATTTTTTAACGATCTTTTTCTAGCAAATCAAACCATTATATCTAGAATGAATTTTCTTTATAAACCCAATTTTATAAAAGCAGTCCTACAGATTTTGCTAAAATAACCAATTAACAATATTCTATGTGTCATCATCATGTACATTGAAAATATAAATCAAATTAATGCTTGAAAATCCATTGCTTCATATGTTTCCTAAATATGTACATATTTACGGAAAATATTAGACATTCCATCAAAATATAAAATTGATATTTAAAAATCTTTCATCATATATTTTGTACATATTTGTAAAAAATATAGCAAAAATATATGAATTACCTACTACAAATATCTATAATGAATATTTTATGAATATACAGGGTGTCCGCAAAGTTGGGGTTTCCTTTACACGACGTGTAGATCTTGAAAACATAAGCATTTTTTCTTAGTACCATATACACCAATGTCTTAAGGGAACCAAGATAAAGGGCTCTGCAACATCAAAAATATCTGAATACCGTCCTGTAGCCGCAACATCCCCGACTGGTACTAGGACACTAGCTCAACCCGACGACAGAACTGGGTCGGGGTCAGTGTGTCAGGTCAGTATGCAACCTTCAACCAACGGTTACGGTCACGCGTCTAGAGGTAATCGCGTAGACGAGAATCCCTCACTAAGCACTAGAGAAGTGCAAGTATCAAAAACTAAAGTGTGGCAAACGCTGCGTGAAGAGGGGCTGTATCCGTTTCACGTCCAACGTGTACAAGCCCTTCAACCTGACGATTTTCCAGCAAGAGTGCGGTTTTGTGAGTGGTTGTTGCATCAACATGACAATAATCTGGACTTTTTGAAGTGCATATTGGTGACAGATGAATCTACGTTCACGCGTAATGGGGTGAATAACTTTCGCAACACTCATGTTTGGTCAGTAGAAAATCCGCACGCTGTCCCTCGGGCACATTTTCAACAAACATTTTCGGTGAATGTTTGGGCTGGCATGGTGAACGGTATGCTCATTGGACCATTTATTCTCCCAAATCGATTGGACGGGATGCATCAGCTGATTTCATTTTCTGTTGGAGCGGTATCATTTCGGGCAGAGACGTACTTAGCCCTTCTCGTCAACTGGAGAGTGAGTACTTTTTCCTTTATTTTTTTTACTTGGTCGCCCTCGTTTCACTACACATTACCTTTGTTATTTCAAGGATAGTTGTTTCTGAAAAGGAAAACCCCAACTTTGCGGACACCCTGTATAAGAAACATAATTATTAGAAATTAAAAAATCTGTCGCTACAAATATTTAACAAACAGTTGCGGCACATCGGTAGCATCTACCAGTGTTGATTCATCTATTCCAATCATAATAGATCCATTACTACGTAAGCAGTGAATTTAAAATTTCAAATACATGACGAAAATCATCAACTAATTAAATAATTAAATAAATTATATAGCGGAAATACGAATGAGGAAAAAATTCAATATTTTAATCGATAATAAAATAGGAAAACACAAACAACATTAAATCATAAACACTGTCAGCGCGGAGAATATGAGTCAGTTGACAACACAAGCATAGCACATAATCTGAACTCAACTGGTCACGCGCTACTCTACCCCTTCGTAGATTGGTCAATAAATGCGGGCAGACAAGCACCTGAAGATTAAGCACAATAAATATAAGCGACATCTCTTGAGATTGACAATTTACAGTTCCTTATAAATCTATTGCAATTTCTTCGAGGAGTTATATTTTCAATGGCTGTAAATCTATTATCCATTAAAAAAGAGAACTATTACGGCACAAAGAATGCTCGGAACAACACTAGCATATACCTCTCGCACATCAATGATCTTGCGATCTTATTTTCTTACTTATATTATCATATTTCCTCCACCACACCTTGTTTCAAAAGTATACCCCATATAGTACCTTACGAGCCCACAACACGCAAACCATGCCAGCTTATGGAATTATACGCAAGACTTCCGTTATGCCTTTTCTCCATAGGTGGCGCTCACGTTATAAGCGTATGGTATTGGCTGGGTACGTGATGAATGCGCAGGAAACAAGTATTAACGTTAGGAACAATTCGACACACGATGGTAACGAAATATTTGCTAGGTCTCAGTTGATGTCACAGATTTTACCATAGAGACCACGACTATATTTAGCTATCTGCCCGACGATGTTTCCTCCTTTATCCACTCAACTCATTCCCCCTACTATGCATTTCACGCCCGGCGAATAGATCTTCTATCAGAATTCATTGATCGCAGAAAACCAGCGATTTTTTCTTTCTCAGTTGGTAACACTGCTTACCTGGAAGACGCAAGGTTCCTGCTGACTGCCCACCGAATTTCTTGCCGTACATGTCAGGGTGCCATAATCCCTGGCACTAGTGGGCGTGTACATCAGCTCGCTAGCATTTGGCGCCTGAAGATGGACTTTGGCAGGTGAAACATCAAAGCTGTCACCGCTGTTGTTGAACTGCCAGACGAACGTGACGTCAGACGGGTCGGCGGCTACTTGACAGCGCACTTTGACAGCTTCAGAGACGCTCGCGCCCACGATTGTTATGGCTGGGCCCAGGCCGTTGGAGTGAATGCAGATTGGAGCAACTGGAAAAAAAAAGAATTTTGAAAAACTTGCTTTGCTAGATGAACGTTAAGTCGGACAGGTGCGTGGTCAACCGACAGTGAGCTTGAGAGATGCTGACGTACACGACTGTTGTAGCTGGGCCCAGGCTGTTGAAGCGAATGCAGATTGGAGTGACTGGAAAAAAAGGAACTTTGAAGATTTAGAATAAAATTCCGAGCGCAGTTTAATAGCTTCTGAGACGAATGCTCCATGGTTGTTATGGCTGGCCCAGACCGTTGGAGTCGATAAAGATTAAACTTACTGGAAAACAAAAGAATTTCAAAAAAATGTAACAATTTTCGAACTGCAACATGATCGTGACGTCAGACGGGTTGACAGCCAGATAATGGAGTACTTTCACAGCTTCATAGATACTGGAGTCCACGATTATTATGACTGGGCCCAACCATTGATCTGGATGCAGATTAGAGCAACTGGGAGAAGAAGAATTTAGATATTTCTGAGAAATTTGGAACTGCAACATGAACGTGACATCAGAAAGGTCGGCGGCCGCTTTAGATCGCACTTTGACAGCTTGAGAGATGCTGTCGCTCACAATTGTTATTGCTGAGCTCAGCCCGACAGACTAAAGGGACTGAATAAAAGTTTTTTTTGAAGATTTTGAACACATTTTGAACTACTACATGACCGTGTAGGCATACAACTGACAGTGGAGTTGGATAGCTTGACAGATGCTGTGGCCCACTATTGTTATGGCTGGGTCCAAGCCATTGGTGCAGATTGGAGTGACGGAAAAATAGAAGGATTTTAAGGATTTGAGACATTTTGAATCGCTACATGAACGGAAAGGCAGACCGGTTATGGACGATCGTTAAGGCAGGGTCCCAAATAATTAAAGTGATGCAGATTAGAGCGACTGTAGAAAGTGGAATGTTATAAATTACACACAAACAAGATATCGTTATCAACTCACTTGACTATACCCGAACACTTACAAAATGTAAATGTCATACACAATTACTTCCAACAGACCGACAATTTCCTAGACATTGCCTCTCTAGAGTTAATCAATTTTTACAAACACAATATAAACACTAACAATCCTCTTAACTTCCAACTGTTAGACAGGGACAGTTTAATCAGGATTATAAGTAATATCTCATCAAATGCCATTGGAGAGAATGGTTTCTCTATGAGAGACCTAAAGCTATGTATTCCATTTTGTACGAATGCTTTGGTGCATATAATTAAAACATGTATTTTGGGGGGATTATTTCCAGAAACATGGAAGAAAGCCATTGTTAAATCCTTACCAAAAATAGGAGAACTTAAAGAATTTCCAGACTTAAGGGCTGTTAGCATATTACCTGCTACATCAAAAATATTAGAAAGACATATTTATAATGAAATATTTTTTTTGTGACTCAAACGATATCATACCCGATAGTCAATCCGGTTTTAGGAAAACTTTAGATATATAGATAGATAGATAGATGCTTTATTGTCTTCGGTTCATAGGAATGATATAAGACTCGTCAGGCATATCCCGATGAGTACATTATTATCTACAAAAATTGAAAATATAATTAAGTATAATTACATAAATTTGTCGGTTAAAAATGGAAAGAAACAGTTTAGTCGAGAAAGGGCAAAGGACGCATGTGCGCACGAATGAAAACATACACTAAACAAGCAGATACAATAATAAACGGAACAAGGTGTAAAAGAAGTAAGTACAATAAAAATAGAAAAAAATAAAAGTCACATCATAAGTTAACATCCTGGATGATATTAGACATCACCAAGAACAAAAAAATAGTACGTGCATGGTACTTCTCGATTTTAGTAAAGCGTTCGACACTCTGAATCATGAAATGTTACTAGCCAAATTAAATTACCAGGGGTTTTTGCAAAGCTCCATAAATATAATAAAACCATATTTAGACAATTGTTCAAACTGTGTCATGTTAGCAAATGATTCCGCTATTTACAAAACCGATTTTAAACCTATAAAAAGAGGAGTTCCTCAAGGTTCAATATTATCTCCTTTGCTATTTTCAATCTACGTATCTGACATGTTCAAATCCGTAAAATTCGTCAAGTTAAAACAATATGCAGATGACTCAAAAATATATCTCCCTTTAAATAGAAACAATCCATATTGCATAACAACAATTAAATTCAGATCTCCAAAGTATTGACAGCTTTGCAAAGCATCATGATCTTAAACTAAACCTCCCCCCTCAAAATCGCAAGTAATAATTTTCAATAAAAACAGTAATGAAAGAGGACATTTCGAACAAAATTTAGTGATTTCTATTAACAATGATAGAATTCCCATAGTTCAAGAGACAAAAAATCTAGGTATCACATTTGATAGCTCGCTTGGCTTCGAAAGTTACATAAAAAACAGAAGGCCTTCATGCGACTAAGGAATATAAACAAAAATATTAATTATGTAATACTTTAATTTTATTACTTTTTGACCATGGAGATGTCGTCCATGGTGATTCGTTATCGTCGCGAACAAAAAGATGAAAACAAACAGTTCAAAATAGTTGCAAGAGATTTGCTTTTTGAATTTCATATCGAAACCATATCACTCCTTATTTGCGTAACTACAACATATTAAACATGACTAATCGCAGAAGACATCATATGTATTCTTTTATCTATAGGGTTATAAAAACAGGTCAACCGCCATATTTAAGAAAAACATTTGTGCCTTTGCCTCGTGCCCAGGGAAGCAGAAATAATCTCAATTTTATCGTACCTAAGCAAAGAACGCGTTCCTTCTAACGATCGTTTGCTTATGTGGCGGTTCACTTATGGAATAATTTGCGAACTTGATTTAAAAACTCATCACAAAAAATATTCTCGAAACTTACAAAAACATTGTTACAGAATCAGCAGCTCCTTCAGCAGCGTGTATGTGAACAAGGATATCGTTATTATGATACTACTCGCTGACAAGTTGTATAGATTTGTTCTTCGCGTCCGTTGCCGGTTCCGGAGGTTTTTTCTTCGTTTTTGCCTTTTTGTGTCTCACCGGCTTTTCATTTACCTCTTTATTTTTTGTTTTGTAATCTGCATAATGTAACGTACAATTTGTGTGTAAACGGGAGTGTATAAAGTTACCGAAATATGTATAGATATTTATTTATATTAATAGTTGATATACTTTTTAGGTTTTTATTTAATTGATGGGATTAATGGTTTTTTTACTCTTCAGGGTTTTCTCGCATAGACTCTTTGTTTTAAAGGGTTCCATGTATCGGTTCCATAATCGAGAGACTGTCCTTTTTCGTCATTGTTTATTGTAGAATTTCTTTTGATCCTAATTTTTACTCGTGACGAAATAAATATTTTGAATTTGAATTTGAATTTATTGCAGCATCATAATTATTAAACTAATGACAAATTATATATATACTTATTGCAAAGTTTCAGAGACATTTCTTCCCTTTTGAATTGTAAAATTTGTTTCTTGGGTAAATCGGGTACGTAAATCTGATGTTAGCTTTTCACTCAGATCGATCATATTTGAAATCAGCATCCCAAATTACCTCAGTGTAACGAGCTCGATCACATGTATACACCCGGGACTTAAATGGAAATGGAAACACGTTAATCGCCTTTTTAATATACTGAAGTAGTCGCGCGGACAGAATCTCAAATACCGGAGCATGGCGACTGCCAATCCGATTTTTGAACTGCTTACGGTTAGCAGAACGGGAAAAGACACCCTAAGGCAAAATGTTCCACAATTTTGACTCCAGGCACTAGGTGCCGGCTAGTTATGGAGGGGAGCTCTGAGGAGCAGAGCCTGTTTACACAACGGTAGAAAAGATCAAGATCGACGGGCCTCCCGTCGCATGGTGGAATATAACCCGAATCTAGCTGTTGCAGAAGTCAAAAAATGATTTATTTTCATGTAGAAGCATGTTACCCCTATGGGGGAATTTCAAGGAAGATCAAACCAACACCTTTCAACTCGGTAAGTGTCCAACTGAGTGGACAAAGATCATTTTAAAACCAATGTTCATAACAGTCATTGATTATTCTGGATGCAACTGAAAGATGCTCTGAAACCGTTTACTTTCCTTTTTCATTGAAACCTTTTTTCAAATGGAAATATTGTAGAGAGATATGGACAGTTTTTTGAATTACCCTATAGGGTTGCTTCGCTAGCCATTTGTGAAATATCATTTCTACGAAAGCTAATGGAGCATGGAAATTGAAATAGTTTTGCGTTCTCATGACCATTCTAGAGATTTTTTTGGCAAAATTTAGCTCTACCTAGAATACTGAAAACTTCCAAGGAGGAAAGTCGTTGAGGAACACAATTTGACTTTACTCCCTTCTCGAGAGTAAAACAGTATTTTGGAAAAACTTGCTGGTTTTATTAAAGTACCAAGGAAAACGTGGTCCCAATCCAAAAGCACCTGGAGTCGACTTTTGTCCGTCCACGAAACGTGATTCAGCGATAGACCCCAAATCAAAAATAATAAAGACCAACACGTGACATCTACTGTCTTGGAACTAGAAACTTTTCGAATGCAGGACCTCTGATGAAGACGCCGAAGACTGCAGTCCCTGACCGGGCTCTTAAACAACACCAGTTTGCTGCAGCCAACAACATCCGCAAAATGATACAAGAGACGCTTTGATTCTTATATCACATTTGAGCTCTCCGCATAGAGCTACCAATAACAAGAGAGCACGTTAAATTATATTCCTACCAGGATGTACAAGTCTCATGCGCATTTTTCAGGAACTATATGCTTTAACATTAACACCATAAATACAGTCCACTGTTAAAGATGTAGTTATGGGTCACATTCCACTCAACTCCTCTCTGAATGGTCTCTAATAACAATTCACGTTATTACTTTCGAAAATTGACAATGTAGTCGGGGCGGCAGAACCTCAAACATGTGAGCCGTCTTATCTGTGCCTTATAGAGAGTGAGGAGATTATGCGAAGTCCTAGCCCTAAACAAATATCCTAGGCTTCCACC